TGATGCCTGCTATGTAATAGTTTTACAATACTTGCTGGGAAAGTGAATATGATTGTACTGATTCTAAACCTCCCACTTATGCAAAACTTACAGTATCTTCACTAGGAAATGTTTGCTATTCACAAGGGAAGGAGGTTGGACCCTGACGAGTACAGGTCAGCATTAAAGTCAAGCTGTGGTTCAAAGGCTGAGAAAGCTGGAAAGAATAGACTGAAATTTTCTTGATAGTTACATCATCACAGAAAACTTCTGTGCTGCCAGGGTACTGTTACTCACGATTAAGAATCTGGTAAACTGTTCCTCTGGGGTTTTTAATCCAATTTGAAACTAAATTAGCAGGCTGGGATGGAGGAATTCAAGGCCTTGCTCTGTATGTTAGAATTTGAGGTTGTGTTTCAGAGTCATTTCCAAACATGAAAAAGATGCAGTGAAAGAGTGAGTTAATTAAATTCTTCCTATTTATGAGCTGTTTGGAGACATCTTACCAAACCTTCAACGGTAACTGAGTATCACCTACATATGTCCAGGAAGCTGTGAATACTAAACTGAAAACCTTTTGAATGGCCAAGAATGAATGCTATCATTTCCTTGTTGAAAGAAATGCATAAATAATGCAGAGCAATGTGAAAATTAGATGGTATAACATTTGAAAACTGTTTAAGAAAAATATTTGAGCAATCAAGGCAAGAAAATTATATTTTCCAAGTGCTCACAACAGTAAAGAGGAATGCTCAGTCATTTACTTGAAGTAAATATCTGCTGGCAGGAGGAGAGCTGACTCAAGTATGCAGTGTGAAAGCTTCAGAGGCAATCTTGCTTCCCGGCATATTGTAAGCTTGGAGTGATGATGTCAAGTGGGTATAACACAGCTAAATAATTACATTTCTCCTCAGATACACAAAATACCTTACTACAAAGAGCACATTTTAAACACAAATTCTTCTCTCCTCTCTAATGATGTCATAGGGGTCCTGGGTAAGTGACAAAATTACCTCCTGTCTGCTTTCTGAAGAGAACAGATTTGCAAAAAAAATCTGGGACCTAAAACCAAATTTAACTGGTGTCTTTGCTAAAACACCATCTAATAGAACAAGCAGAGATGCCAGACAAAAATCCAAATATTTTCCTAAATAAATCTCCTACTGCATCTCTTGCACTTAGCACTGAAATGATCATTGAGATACCAAAGAATTGTAATCTGTGGGGAAAAATAATAATGGGTCCTACCACAATTTCATGTGTTTTATGAGGAAAAGTATCTTTTCATTATTTTAACCCCATTTTAGAGAAACTGTAGATGTAAAATCCTTAAGATCCCCTTCCCTTAACCATCTCATCCCTTTACTTCCTACTCCCATTTTTGAAGTAGCATATCTTGAAAGCAGTATACACAGAGCAGACATCACTGTCAGTGGGAGGGGGAAAAGCATCACTGCACACTGTGCATCAGACAGCACAAAACCAGAGGAAGCTAAAATGCAGTACAAGCTCCACTAATAGGATCTCTGGGAGGCCACCCTTTTTCTAACAATTAATGGAGAGAGATCAGATTTTACTGCATTAATCATCTCCTGGCATGAGGCTAACAGCATGACAAGTTAAATTTGATCCCAAAAATTGCGTTCTTAATCCCTCTCCTGCCAGGCTACACCTCCTCAGGTGCTGAAGTAAAGGAAGAAAAACAAATTGTAAAGTTTCTCCCCTGAAGAGTTCTGCATATTTCAATTCTTCACTCATATATTGCCATCAACGTCTTCCTGCCCTACACCAGCTGCTCTCCCCCCAGCTTCACCAGCAGATCAGTCCCCATCTGATTACACTACTGGACAAGATGGAGTCAGGCCAAGGATTCATCTGATCATGGGTATTTTCAGTATTTCTGAAGGCAGATTTCCTTTTCTGTCCACTTTCTTCCCCAATATGATTCTCAATGCATAATTAATATTATTGAATTCATATTCTTGTGTTGTTACCTTGCTGTATTAAAGCTGTCATCACCTGTTTCATGCCACCCAACACGCACTTCCCTGATACAGGTTGTGGTACTTTATAGCTACAGCAGATGCCCTCTCACACAGTGGCTGTGTTCTTCAGAGTCTGCTCTCTGGCTCAGAAGGGAATTAGAAGGGTGCAGATCCATGAACATTGTGCCCTGCACACTCGGCGGTGAGAAGTAATTTTCTTAATTAATCAGAATGAATTCTGATACAAAGGTACCCACAACTGATTGCATTTGGCTCTTTTAACAAAACAATTAAAATCTCTTTTTTCCTCCTAGTCTCGTAAATTAATTTTTAACACAACAAAGAATAAAACATGAGTTGTCTCAAACTGAAGATTTAAGCAGGGTATTTTTAGGGTAGATTTAGATTAAGTATAAGGAAGAAATTCCTTACTGTGAGGGTGGTCACGTGCTGGAACAAGTGGTCCAGAGAAGTTATGGACGCCCTCTCCCTGGAAGTGTTCAAGGCCAGTTTGGATGCATCCTTGAGCAACCTGGTCTAGTGGAAGATGTCCCTGCCCATGGCAGGGGTGTTGAGACTAAATGATCTTTAAGGTCCCTTCCAAACCAAACCACTCTATGATTCTATAAAAGTTCTTCTAGCTGTGGAAAAAAATTTCCCGTTTCAAAAAGTAGTTCTCAGTTCTGCTTGGAACTGATGAAAATAAAGTTAAGCCATTTACTTACAGAGCTAACAAACATCTTTTATTTCTGTTAGTCATATTAAAATTTTTATTTCAAAGTGTTTTTTAAATTCTAAATCACAATTACACCAGCAGCTTAAATACAAAAGCAGTAATAGTTACATTATTGTTTTTCTGCAGTAATTTTCTCCATGTTCCACCAAAAGCAGAAATTTGAAAGGTGATGCAAAGTACTAGTGCAAAGCAGGCACTTCTGTAGGGCTCAAGGAAAATTAACATGGTTCAACATAATGCTTTAAGACTCCACTTTACATTTATGGTCTAATTCCTCTCTAGTGGTGGTGGTAATAATAGGAAAGAAAGAGAAGCCTTTTGTTCTCTTGCCAGTGGCTTTCAAAGGGTTTGAAAACTGTGCTAGGAAAAATAAGTGTCAGAAGATGAAGCACATCTAGAACTGAAATCGAAGTGATGTGAAAATACACATGCCAGCAGAACCTATCCAAATTTTAAGGCAAAAAATAAAAAGGCTCCCAAAAGGTTCTGTTCCAGCATGTACTTTGTCTAGTGCTCTCAGCCTAGAAAGCTGTTTCATATAATTACAGCATGAAACATTGACTGTGTTGCTGAGGTTTTATTTGGAGTCAGGCATGTCTGGCAGTTTTTTCTGGGCCATGTCCTATGCCTACCCAGGGCACACACAACTCCTGGGAAGTGGGATATGTGTTAGACCTCATCATTGGCTTCAAACAGCACTATATTCCATTGCTCTGGGGACAGTCTGCTGGTGGGGCAGTCTGATTGAAATACAATCTCTGTTGAAACCCTCTTTTTATAAATATAACACATTTTTAATCTACAAAACATTACCACAGTGATGGAAAAGCAGCTGCTTCCTCCCAAATCACTGCCCCTCTGATCCTGGGACCTTGGTAGCACAAGTATGGGGGCAATAACTGTCAGCAGCACCCCCATGGGTGAGGGATCTCATCACAGCTGGAAAGTAAGGTTGTTGTGAGTCAGTATTTGACTGGGAAGCTGCTTAGAAACGCTTGAACAGTCGTCTGCTTCAGGAAGCGTAATAAGTGATTCAGCAACTCAGATAGCAGTTTTCAACCTGAATCACTTCAGAACCAGAACACAGGACAGAGCAGCTGTGATGCAGAGCTAAGGCCTATGGGATCCTCTTAAAAATCGTGTACCAGCCTTTAGAAACAAGATCTTTTAGCTCCAGAGAGTTCATGTTCCTACTTTCAGCTCCAATAACAGGACAGCCTGAGTTTCTCCAGATTTCAATGGATATATCTTTTTTAGCCAAGAGCCACACTGTGTAATGTTATGGAGTGTAGAACATAACTTCTGTATTGCTCTGTAGGTTGTCTTAGGGGACAGTCATTCCTACTGCTCTACTGCAAAATGATTCCAGGAGAGAAACATCCATCTGGGCTAAAGCCTCCTTCTTGTGACATGATCCCACAGTGCCTAGTGTTCATGGAGCTGGTTCGAACCCTGACAGGGACCTTGACAAGCAGCTATTGCAATACTAATTGCAACCACCATCAGTGACTCAAAAATCTCTGTGCCTGTTTAGATTACCCTGAGCATAAACCTAAATTATAGTCTGTTCTGCAGATATCTCATATTCTCTGTTGCCTCCCAAAGCGAGTATCCAAGAGGAAAGAGCGGAAGTATTTCTGGAGTTGAGCAGTCAGTATTGCACCTTTATAGAGCAGCAAACCAGCTAATGCTAAAAGGTGGAAGCAAGGCTCTCCCGGCTAAATCAGGGAAGGACAAATGGCTTAGTGAAACGGAGCACAAGACCCAGTCAGGGTACATGCGCTTGCTGCTAAGCGCAGGCCGGGAGGACTGCTGTGCCTTGCTAGCTGTGGCACGCTGGCATGTGCGAGTAAATCCTGCCCTTACAGATCCATAACCCGGGGAGAAGGGGGCGCTTCCCGCCCGAGGTGTGGGTCTGCCCCCGGCCGCGGGCAGCTGGAGGAATCTGGCGGGGCAGAGCCAGCGCCGCGGCGGAAGGAGCAATGCCTGCTTTTGGGGGACACCCGGAGATGGGGAGAGATCGGGGCCGAGGCGGGAGGGGGTGCGATGGGAGAGTGGAGAGAAGCGGGAGGGGAAGGAACGGGGTAACAGCAGGAGAAGGGGAGGGGACAGCCAGGAGGGAGGGGGGGCAGCGGAGATAATAAAGCCGGAGAGAAGGGGGAGAAGGACGAGCGGAGCCGGGGAGAGCCGGACGAGCGGAGATGGGGCGGGGGGCGTGAGCGGGGCCGGCGGTGCCCGGCAGTGCGATGGTGCCCGGGCGGCGGCGGCGGCTGCGACTGAGCCTGTGAGCGGGGCCTCGCCATGGGCTGCGGGGGCAGCCGGGCCGACGCCATCGAACCCCGGTACTACGAGAGCTGGACGCGGGAGACTGAGTCCACCTGGCTGACCAACACGGACTCCGAGAGCCCGCAGCAGGAGGGCGGCGGCGCCGAGCCCGGGCGGGAGCAGGGCGGGCCGCGCCCCGGTGAGTGCGGGCGGCGCAGGGGGTCCGCGGGATGGGGAGCGGCCGTGACACACATTGTATACACCTCACACACACGTGTGCGTGCACGGAGCTGTGTGTGTGCACCCCCTTTTTCTGCTGCGAGGGGAACATATTCCGCTCCCGCCGAGAAATGCGCTAAAGCCGCGGAGCGCTCGGAGCGCCTGCCCTGCCCGGCCGGGAGCGGGCACTGCGCTAACAGAGCTGCTCAGGGTCCAGAGACCCGCTCGCGGCCGTGCTCGGCTACGAGCGAAGGAATTAAACGCCTGCAGCTGTGGGACAACGTCACCAGAAGGGAAGAGAACTTGGTCTTGGAGGGTCTTGCTGTGGAATACGTGGCTTTTTCTTCTGCAAAACAAATCATTTAGGAAATAGGTTTGAATTAAGGAAGAGGTGCGCAGCCTTCTTCCACACTACCTCTGATACCTTCTGGTCTGCAGAAAACTGGCCAGAGGGTGGGCTGCACAGAAGCTGACCTGCAAATTTGAATTTCCCAGATCTTGTCAGTGTGACACATCCTTAGCTGTGAACCTGAGGTATTACAGTAGAGACGGATATGGGAAAGGGAATGAGGAGCTCTGATGTGATGTGGAGTTTTAAATGTTTTAAGAATTATTATGTATTGCAGCAATATCTAGAAATCTCAGCCTAGTTCCAGAAATTCATCATGCTTCATATTGTACACAGCGTGAAAGTGGTCACTGCTCCAGGTAGATTATAATTTCCATATAAAGTAGTAAATGCCTATAGGCAGCTTCAGAGGAAAAGCAGTAGCTTTACAGACATTTATAGCAAGTGACAAAGCACCAAAAAGAAATTATGGAAGTGCAGGAGTGAAAATTCACAAAAGTGGGCATCACAGGTCATCTGGAATAGAGAGATCATGACTCTCTGCTGACCAGAATACGACAAGGAGGGAGAAGTCACAAGTGGTCTGTTTTACTCCTGAAGGCTAAAGAAAGACTTTGTAGTAATCACATGTGAAATTATGAGAATTTGAAGGTGAATGGGTCTATAAAATGCCATATTAAAGATCATATCAGGAATTTAAAGACGTTTAAGACAGTGCTGGCCAGTAAGTTCGAATGACAGGTGTCAGTCTCGTCTCCAGCCGTGAAGGCTAAACACAGTGAGTGTTACCTCTGTACCCACAATTAGTGTTATCTTAGCCATGTTTACTTTCAGTTGGTGCCTGAACATAATAAACAGAAGCCAGAAAGTCCAAGACTTGATATTGAATAGGAGGTAATAAAGAGATAGACCAGTAAGTATTCTTCCCAGAAACATGTGATAGTTGAATTTGTATTTAGAGATGAGAATACCAGCAGTAAGGAGACGAGGACAACACTCAAGTCCAACACAGATTGATTCGGGTAAGAGAAACTTTACAAGAAAGAAGAGATTAGAGGAAAGTGAATGAGGAGAGGACAGACTAGTAGGAGCAAAGGAACTGTAGGACTTAAGTAAAGGCAAGATTTACTCTTCACACAGCTCTGGTGGTGGCAGCTTAAGGAACCTGAGGAACACACACTGCTCCCAATTAGTGCCTTGAAAGTCATAAAGTACTTAACGGAAAGCTATAGTAGGGTAAGGTTTGAAGTAAGAAAGGAAAAGGAATAAGTAGAGGTACTCTAGGGAACTAGAAACAGCATGTTAAGTGAATTTACAGATGAAAGGGAGAAATTGGAGGGGCAAATGAGGTCAAGTATGAGTTTAAGACATGAAGAGGAAAACATGCCTTTATTGTGAGAACTGAAAACCACCTAAGATTGAGAGACAAAAGGGAAGAGTAAGGGAGGGCACATGAGCAGGATGGGGGTCCTGGGGAGATGGGACATGACATTGACATAAATCAAGGTAGGAAGACTCTGTAACTGGGACACAGAAAGGGAGGCAGCCAGGGAAGGGGGCACCAAAGGAGGATGGGGAAAAGAGGATGAAATTGTTTTCATTTTTCACTTGGAATATATTGGTGAAATTCTGTGAAGAGAGAAGTAAAGATAAGATGAAAGAAGTATTTTGGGAAAAGGACAAAAGCAGTAAGAGGTGGCTGTGATTGTCAACACGTTTCTTTTAAATGGAAAAAACAACAGACGCTGGAGATCAAAATGTAATGAGGAGTAAATCATTCAGGGATGAAAGAATGTAGTGTATGCAGGATTAGCAAGTGTATCAATGAGGAAAAGGTAGGAACTATCCTATCTTAGTCTGAGTAATCTCACCCCCACAAATCCCACCACAAATTTCAGCCAGTACATTTAGCTTTCTGTGCCTTCTCTCATTGGAATTGTACGTATTTCTGTGGCCAAATCTTTGTACCTTAAACAAAGACGTTTGAAAGTTAAAATATTATTCAATTAGGAAGGAAGTATTTTACCATTTCCTTTTCCATTTGCCCCATTTCAATTGATGCTTTCTTAGAATATTTGTTAACTTCCCTACTTGATTTTTTACATCCATTTTAATAAAGTTTATTGTAATCTCCCTATTTTTTTCAGGAATACTTTTAGGACAATGTTAGTTGTTATAATATAGCTAAAATAAAATAGACAGTTTTAAGTTCACAAGAAGTAACTTAGGTCACAAGAAGTCACTAACAGCCACAAATATAGATGGTTGCAACTTGTTGCAGTATGCTGCTGAGGTTTTGGTAATGATGAACAGGATAAATTGATAGAGATGAAGAGGGATAGAAAAGTACTAAATAGCTTCATGAAGCACTGCAGATGGTGAAATTGAAAGATGTCTTCTAGAAGACAAGTGTACATACTGTTCATAGGGCAAGTGGCTTCCACAGGAGAGGAAAAAGAGTCACAATGAGCCCCTACAATAGAGCCATTTCTTGTAAGAACATCCATTGCTATGAGAGCAAAGAACTTTTCACAGGATTCAGCTATTGCGTAGGCCATAGCTGGGAAAAATAATAGACCGCATTTCTGCTTAGTAACCGTTCCTTGATCCTTGCAACTCTTAGCACAAATTGCCTTCTCTTTAGAGGGTCTGATTCAGCTAAGTGGAAGTGTTAGCACAAGTAATGACTTTCTGGGGAAGTAAGAATCTGTGGGTACAGGCGAGTTCCCAGGTCAGTCACCATGGGTTACAAGCAAACCACAGGGAAAAGAGTGATTTAACAAAAACCACACAAAAACTTTCAAGTATTTTGGAACACATTTGCACAGCCTTGACATGACATATGTGTAGCCTAGTAATTTAGGATGCACGATTTCCTACAAGAAACCAGTACTGTAAAAGTGTTTTATAAACCCGTTCAAAATCAACTATAAACAAAAATTAATTTCTTTTTTTTTAAAGAAGGCTTTAAGTCATCATATTTCTATTTCTCTCCATTTTCATTGGCTAAGTTAGCTGCTGTATTCAATTATTTTTTCCTTATTAGACTTGAAGGTGCTTAGAGTGGGTAAACCAACATGTTGCTTTGTGGTCAGAGAGCCCTTACAATCAGGGTTTATCTCATAGGCTGCAAACGCCTTAGGACGGGATTTCTCCTTACTATTTTCGCACAGCAACCAGCACAGTAAGACCCCAGTCTTGGCTGGGGATTGTTACTGAAATGCAAATAAAAGTAATTAATTTTGAAATGGTGTACCAACCAAGTGAAAAATAATTCTCTTATATCAGAAATGAAAAGCTGCATAAAGCTCAGGACTCATACAGTTTCTCAACTAGTAAAACATTTGTTGAATTTTAATCATTATGTGACTCACAGTATCAGCTAAAAAAAATTTTTTTTTACGCTTTCTACTTTTCGCTATTTCTATAGAAAAGTCTTTTTTTCTTGAAGCATATTAAGGAAAAACATTATCCATGTTTGGCACAGACTCACTTCATGCATTCAGGAGAAAAACTTGCTCATGGGCGTCAGCAAACATAACTGCAGTCAGTGGACTGTGAGGAATGAAATCTGTCCAGTGAAGATGTTTGAAAAATACCTATGAAATGAAAGAATTGAGTCCTTTGTAAAATAAATAGAGAAAACAAGAGGAATACAGGAGAAATTTTATCACTGTCTAGCAATCTGGCTGGCTAACAGTTTATCTTGTATAATTGCCCTCAATATACTCGAGTGTTTATGAATAATTCTTGCTCTGTTCTCTGAGGCTAAATGACTGGCTCATGTTGCTGCTCCACTGTTTTCTGATTGCTGACAACTGTGGGAAGTTTTATGGATCAGGCCCATATTTGTAGCTAGGCTCTGATCAAGACTCAGTACGCAGAATATGGTGTTTTGGATGTAACCTTTGGTACAGAAGTTTTGGAAAATCGGGTTTCCATCCTTTGCAGCAGAGGACTGGGAGCAGCGGCAGCCGAGGGCCGGGCTGTGCGAGCACCAGTTGTCATGACAACAGGGACTGGTGCTGGCTTGGACCGCCCTGCCGTCATCCGCTCCTTCGTTTACCAGTTTACCCGGTATGCGCAAAGTTAAGAGCTCAACAGAGGTGAATAAGCATCGGTTTGTAAATTAAAAACTTGGTGCAGCAGAGGGTTTCTTGTGAATCGGACTGCAGAGAAGTATTTAATAAACAGTCTATTTTAGGTTAAGAGGGATCATTGTGTTATCATGGGTATACCAGGATCTCTTTGTGCTCATGCATTTTTTTTAATGGGTTGGTTCAAAATCTGGTAGGTTTAATAAACAACTAAAGCAGTGACTCTGATGTGATATTTCCAGGAGATGATCTTATTACTGTTTGAAATGACAGTAAAAGTGAATAAATGCAGCCTCTTCCTGGACTGCAGACATATTACAGTAATTCCCTATTCCATATTAGTCCAGATGCTGGATATAATAATATAATGCATTTGCATGGCGAGGTTTTGTAGCAGGTGGCAGGGTACAGGGTTGGCTTCTGTGAGAAGATGGTGGAAGCTTCCCCCATGTCCAGTGAAGCCCATGCCAACCATCTCCAAGACAGACCCACCACTGGCCAAGGATGAGCTCATCAGCAACAGTGGTAGCACCC